AAATTAAAGAAGAAATTAAACAATACCTAAAAGAAAATGAAAATGCAGATACAACTTACTGGAGTCTGTGGGATGCAATGAAAGCCATCCTGAGAGGAAAATTTATTGCACTGAGTTCCCACATCAGGAAAACAGAACGAATACAAATAAATAACTTGATGCTACACCTCAAACAGCTAGAAAAAGAAGAGGAAGTCAAGCCCAAAGCCAAAAGAAGAGAGGAAATTATAAAAATCAGAGCAGAAATCAATGCAATAGAGACTAAGAAAACAATCCAAAGAATCAAAGAGTTGGTTCTTTGAAAGAATAAATAAAATCGATAAGCCCCTAGCCAACCTTATTTTAAAAAGGGAAGAAAAAGCTCAAATCCATGCAATAAGAAATGAAAAAGGAGAAATCACTACAGACCCAATAGAAATACAGAAGATCATCAACACATATTTCAAAAACCTCTACTCTCAAAAGATTGATAGCACAGAAGAAATAGACAGATTCTTAGAAGCATATGAAGTGCCAAAGCTAGATCAACAGGATGTAAAACTGTTGAATAACCCAATCTCTGCTAATGAAATTGAAAATGTAATTAGGTCCTTACCCAACAAGAAGAGCCCAGGCCCAGATGGATTCACTGCAGAATTCTACAAGAAAAACAAAGAAGACCTAATGCCGACACTCCTCAAACTATTCAATGAAATTGAAAGGGAAGCAATGCTTCCCAAGTCATTCCTGGAAGCAAAAATTACTCTAGTACCAAACCCTGAGAAAGACCCAACTAAAAAAGAGAACTATAGACCGATCTCCCTAATGAACACAGATGCAAAAATCCTCAATAAAATATTGGCAAATAGGATCCAGCAAATCATCAAGAAGATTATACACCATGACCAAGTGGGATTCATCCCAGAATGCAAGGATGGTTCAACATACACAAATCAATAAATGTAATCCACCATATGAATAAAGCCAAAAATAAGAATCACATGATCATTTCTATAGATGCAGAAAAAGCCTTCGATAAGGTCCAACATTTATTCATGATAAGAACTTTACAGAAAATTGGAATAGATGGTCTTTACCTCAATATAATAAAGGCCATTTATGACAAACCAACAGCCAGCATCATACTAAATGGCCAAAAATTGAAAGCCGTTACTTTACAATCAGGCACAAGACAAGGATGTCCTTTATCACCACTCCTATTTAATATAGTACTGGAAGTAATAGCCAGAGCAATTAGGCAAGAAAGAGAAATAAAAGGGGTAAAGATAGGAAAAGGAGAAGTTAAGTTATCATTGTTTGCAGATGACATGATACTCTACAAAGAAGACCCCCTAAACTCCATTGAAAGACTCTTAGATACAATAAATAAATTCAGTAATGTGGCTGGATACAAAATCAATACTCAGAAATCAATAGCATTCCTATACAAAAACAACAAAATGGCAGAGAGGGAACTAAGAGAAACTGGACTATTCACATTAGCAAGCAAAAAAATAAAATATTTAGGAATTACTCTTACGAAAGAAGTGAAAGACTTATACAGTGAAAATTATAATACACTGAAAAAGGAAATTGAAGATGATCTCAGAAAATGGAAAGACATCCCTTGCTCATGGATAGGAAGAACAAACATTGTGAAGATGGCCATTCTCCCAAAACTGTTATACAGATTCAATGCAATCCCAATACAAATACCAACAACATACCTTATAGGTCTGGAGAAATCACTCCTAAATTTCATCTGGAACCAGAAGAGACCTAGAATTGCAAAGGAAATTCTAAGCAGCAAAGACAAAGTAGGAGGCATCACAATACCTGACTTGAAGTTATACTACAAAGCAACAGTAGTAAAATCAACATGGTATTGGAATCAAAACAGAACCGAAGATCAATGGAATACATTAGAAGATACAACCACAACTACAAACACACTCGACCAACTTATCTTTGATAAACGAGCCAAGCAGGTTCACTGAAAGCACGACAGTCTCTTTAATAAATGGTGCTGGAAAAACTGGCTCTCCATTTGCCGAAAACCAAAGCTAGACCCATGTCTATCACCATGTACTAAATTATAATCTAAATGGGTCAAAGATCTGAATATTAAAACAGAAACACTAAATCTATTGGAAGACAAATTGGATAGAAACCTTGAAGACATAAGAGTAGGTAGAGAATTCATGAACAGGACTCAAACCGCACATGAAATACTTCCCAGAATCACTAACTGGGACCACTTCTCATTAAAAAGTTTCTGCATGTCAAAAGAAATCTGCAGCATAGTGAAAAGAAAACCCACAAACTGGGAAACGATTTTAGTGAACTCTCTCTCAGACAAGGGACTCTTGTCTAAAACATAAAAAAAATTTTAAAAACTGAGACTCCCACAATTCAAAGATCCAATCCAAAAATGGGCATCTGAGATGAATACGCAATTCTCAGATGAAGAAATGCAAATGGCAAATACATGAAAAAATGTTCATCATCTTTGGTCATTAGAGAAATGCAAATTAAAACCACACTGAGATACCATCTCACTCCTGAAAGAGTGGCCAGGATCAAGAAAACCAACAACAACAAATGCTGGAGAGGCTGTGGGGAAAAAGGAAATCTCCTGCACTGTTGGTGGGAGTGTAGACTGGTACAGCTTTTGTGGAGATCTGTCTGGAGATTTCTCAAAAAGTTGGGATTGGAAATACCATTTATTCCAGCTATTCCACTTCTAGGCATATTCCCAGAAGAACTGAAAGCATCATTCCACAGTGATATATGTGCACCTATGTTTATAACAGCACAATTTGTAATCACCAGATCTTGGAAACAACCCAAGGGTCCGTCAACTGAGGAATGGATAAAAAAGTTGTGGTATTTCTATACAATGGAGTATTATTCAGCTATAAAGAAGGATCTCATTGAGATATTTATCAATAAATGGGCGCAGCTTGAGACCATACTCATAAGTGAAATAAATCAATCTCGTATGTGTGAATACCGAATAGTTTCCCTAATGTAAGTAGATTCAAATATATAAAAATATGTGCTAATCATGATTCCCCATTATTTGGCCTTGAAGCCTTATAAAGTTTTCACTTATTAATTGGAAAGGCTTTAATCTGGGCTTCTTGATATGGAAATATTTGAAGCTATAGTATATGAAGTTTTATTCAAATATTTCAAGGAAAAACACAGACACTATGGTAACTACTATTAAGTCAGCTTATTTGGTGGTGAAGCATTAGGTTGCTGAAACAGTCATGCTTTGACCTGTATTGTTATACTGCTAGGTCCTGTTTTATCTCAATCTCTCGCTTATTCTTTAAAAAAATTATTAAGTTATTTCTCATGTTTGTTTTAATTAAGGGGAAAAATTTTAAAAATTAGCAGGATATATAATAGTAACTCTTTTTGATTTCCTATTAACTTGTTTTGAAGTCCTGTAATACTCCCACGATCTTGTTTTGACTGATTAGACTCTGTTCCATTCTGTATGATAGTATCAAGTTTGAGGGTATAGGCAACTACTTTGAAGGCAATAAGATTCACTAAGATGCCCATTCTGGTTTGACTATTTTTTCCTTTGGAAGTCCTATAATGTTTACAATGTTTAAGTTTTATTGGTCTTGTTCTCTACTGTTTTGTTCAACTTTATAATAGCTGATGATATAGACAAATCTTTTTAAGGAAACAAGAGACATCGTTGATAACCATTGTTGATAACCTTGTACTCTGTTTTACATCATGTGCTTTGTCTATCCTTGGTTTTGACTGACAGCTTTGTTTTGCCATATTTGACTTTATTCTCACCCCCCAAAAAAAGTAATAAGAACTAAGAAGTAATAAAACCCAAAATGTGTAAATTTTGCTGTAAAAAATAGAGGGAAAAAAAGAGCTCTAAAGGGTACAACAGCAAGTGTGTTTAGGGGTGTTAAATAGCTGAACATATTAATGTTTTTGGTTGGATCATTGAACACAACTGTTTGCAGTCTCACTGTTTGAGTGTCCACTTTGTATGCTTTGATACTGTGATTTGAGCAACTATTTCTAAGATGATAATATGTAATCTATTAACTGGTGATTTCTTACTGGTTTTTTTTTTGTAGTTCTGTATTACATGTACCCTTACACTGCTTTGTTTTATTTTGTGTTTTTCTCTTTTTCCTTTTAAATAAAATTTTAAAAAATATGTGTTATCCTTCATCTAGCATCAGATCAAGAGATTAGGTACATTTAAATATCACAATATCTATTTCCATCTCTATCTAGACCTTCCTCATGAAGTCAATTTGTGGCACCTGTAAAGAACCCAATACAGATATCTCCACTCTTTCAGAAAATTTCTACTAGTTTTGTCTGCAACAGTCATGGACTGACATATTTGGCTTTCTGTACAATAAACAAACGTGAACTTTGGGCCAGTAAGTGGCACAGTCTGTATATTCCAAGACTCATTCTACACAAATAAACTTAAACGAAAGATGTTCCACAATTCTAAATCTCAGGACCAGTGCCCATAATGCTTGCTGATACATGACAACCTACACAGAAGTCCTCCTTGGTATTTTCCCTCGCACATATCCAGGTTCTCTTCCATCAAGCTTTTCTATAAGTACATCACTCCCATCAGACTCCCAGTATTTGTTACTACATCTACTTTATTTCCTTCATGAAATTTTAGAGCAGTATTCCACCGGATGTTTTGTAGAAGGTGTCACTAAATTCAACCACATTGACTAGAGTTCCATATTGATGCAGCTTGAGAAGTCCACTAACGTGCCAGGGTCCATGATAGAGGTTGAGTTTTTCTCCTCACATTTCTTCTTGTTAAATTTTAAATGATGTTTATTTCATCCATTGTTTTTCTGTCCTGAGAACCACCTACCTCCTCCTGCACCGTTGGCAAGAACTCTACAATTGGTAGCACTCTCAGGCTCCAACACTTTCTCCGTGTCGCTACAGAACACTCTGTGTCTAATCACTTATTTTTGTGCAAAATTGTGCGCTTACATGCTGCTGAAAAAACCTGATAATTTGATCCGGAGTCTGGCTGCAGTAGAGTTGCAGCTCATGAGAACGAATGGGCTGACCGTGGGGAAGCAGGTGGCAAACAGTGCAGAGGTGTTCATGAGCCACCAACTAGGATTTCTGAAATTTGCAATGCAAGCATAAAAGAATGAGGAGAGGGTGTAAAAAGAAACAAAGGTGCATACAAGGATGAAGATGCTGTGGGTGGCCCTGGTCTCAGGGCAAGTTTTCTGGAAATCATTTGTCTTATGAATATATTGCATCCGCTGCTTGTGCTGCTGCAAAAAGTAAATCATGGAGCCACTGGACCAGATCATAAGCGCAGAACATGAAACTTCAGGCAACAACACAAATTCTATATATAATACTTCTATGATTCCATCCCTAAACATACAAGAACAGTATCCAAAGTCTTCTAACTCTGTGATATTTATGCTGGTATATTTGATGATGCCATAAAACATAAAAATACAATTTACCAGCATATAGAGAATCCAACTGAAAAAAATAGATAAACCAATGTTCTTGGGAAGTTTACCTTTAAGCTCCTTCCAAATGGAATTCATAGGGCTGATCTTAATAGTCTGGAAGACACTCAGCAGGCAGGTTGTACTAACTGAGACACCCCTCGCCACTCTGTAGACATATGAAAGAAGTGTGCATCTACTAACTTGACAGAAATACTTTAGCCCAAAGCCTTGCATTGTCTGTGGGATTCCCTTTGACAGCATGATCAGTGTGTTGGCTATAGTTAAGTGTTCTGCTATTAGATCTGTAGGCCTTAACTTATATGCAGTGAAGCACAGAGAGAGATAGTGGAACAGAAGGACAATGTTAGCTAAGATTCCAGTGACTGTCTGAATCAGAAAAACCATTCCAATGAGCAAGCTCCTAGGTTTCATCCTGCTGTGAGAATGTAGGGATGCTCAGTCCGTGGGTGATTAGAGATGGTAAAATTTGCATATGGCTCTGTGACTGTTTGGGTTCACTAGGTACAAATTAGCAATAAGGGAAGGAAAGTAGCAGAGGGATCCACACTATGGCTTAGCTGGTGTGAACTTGTGTGAAGCAATGGTATGAAATGAAAAGAATGCAGAACAGCTTCTTGGTATCAGAAGGATATGAATATCAGTAGGTCAATAATTTTTATAAGCAAATGGCAATTAACTTGCATATAACATACAGGAATCCACCTCTAAAATTGAAATAACATCAGTATTGCATATTATATTTAATATAATATTAAGACTACAAAACTTGGACTTATAGTGTGTATTTTAGGAAATACTGCAAAGAAAACATCTGTGCATATTTAGTTCCTATACATTTTTAAAATTTAGTTCCATATTTACTGGATCCATACATGAAACATGTAAGTACAGAAAGCAAACCATAAAGCATTTTCAGAAGACATTTGAATTACTAAACAGGAAAACAAAGTTCACACAAAACAAGTTGATTCTAAGTAGAATACTAATCAAAATATTAAAGTCTGTGGTCTTAGCATGTGAAAAAACAGTTTAAACACAACAAATATTCATTAACATCAAGGTGTGACATGACAAACAGTTCCTTTTAAAACAAGAGTTTCACTTCATCATGAGAGAAAGAAAGCTCACTTCCAGTGTCTGAAAATTACTACAAATAATTAACAGATACACAAACACAATAGAAATATGTGTTCAGAATGAATCAAACAGGCCCTTAAGAAAGAGGCTATGGAATGCCCGTTGGTCATTTTCAGAGTAACAGGAAAAAGTAAAAAATGCTACTGCTTTTCAGCTTTTAGAATTGTGTAACAACTGGAGAGCTAAAATGAAAATAACAGAAAATGTTACCTTTACAAAATGCAGTTGCTATGCCAGGACTCTCATACACCTTTGGTAGGCTTGTCGATTAGAACAAAGATGCTAAGAAATTGTTAGTGTCTAATAAAGCTGGAAAGATCAGAATATAGTTTAAAAATATTGTTTTACTCCTACATATAGGGCCAACACAAATTTTTTAATATGTTTCAAAAACAAAAATTCTCAATTTTACATACCAGTGCTATTTGTAATTACCCTAAAATAGACACACATGGGCATTTTTAGCCAAATTAAAGTCACTTGCCAGGTATTCACTCAATTTAATGATGTAAATAAATTCTAATCAATAATTCATAATAATGTGCATCAAAACAGATCATGTGTTAATACCATATGGGACAAAAAATCTACTCAAAAACTTGATGTTGCATAATTGTATTTATACAAACCACAACAAGATGGAAGTGATCTGCTCTTCTTGAGGTCAGGATAGGATGTGCTGAGCTGAGCTGGGAAAGCAGGGGAAAAAATGGTCACAGTGGAACTCGTCATGGGTGAACAATAATCTGCCTAAGACCTTGAAGCTGCAAAGCAATGTTCAGATCATGAAACCTCACTGAGACATTTGCTGGGAACCTTTGTATCTACCTTTAAAGTGAAAAAAAATCCTCATGAGATACTACTGCAAGTCACTTAAAATAATTATGCTTTACCTCTATTTCCTAAGTGCATTTTAAAATACTAAAGTAACATTACATTATGTTTTCTTTCCATTTTGGGCTGCAATTTCTATATTAGACAAAACAATACCCTGAGAACACACCATACAAAATAAAAGGTTCATCTGTGCAACTACAAAAACACCAAGAGAAATTTAAAAACAGACAGGTTAAAAAAGTAAAACGAGTGTGCCAAAAAGCATGAAAAAAATCAGCACATTTATGCTCAGTATAGTATTCTTAGGATAAAGTAATTCTTACAAAAGGAAAAGCCATGTGTTTATTTAACAGGAAATCTGGACCGCATTCCAATGAAAACATTTTTGGAGCTAGAACTTACATGTCATGGTTAGAAAAGTAAACATACTAATTATGCAGTTAAAATCAAATGAATAGTATCAATAAATACATAAAACTGTGTTAGCATGAAAAGAAGCTGTCAGTACTCATCCCAAATAATTTTAAATTTTTATTTTGCAAATTTTCAATATTATCCTTTCATAGATGACAAACATGACCAGTAGTTTGCTTTGTTGTTTGTCTGTTGCTCTGTGAATGAAACACAGGACCAGTCCTGTCACTTAGTTACGTTAACTATCATTTTAATTACATCTTGACAGAGTCATACAAAGTTCCCCAAGCTATCCTGCAAGTCCCTATCTTCTTGCTTCAGGTTTCTGGGTAGTTTATATTGCAAGCAAACACCACTGTGCCTGAGTAATCACAGTGTCTCAGGTTTTTCTCAGTGTTACAGAGTGTCACAGGCTCTGTGTGTGGAGGAGACGCTTCCTGGGCTTGCAGGCTGAGAGTCTAAGATTAGCAGGTTCCACTGGCTTGGCCTCTTGTGATGGCACCAAGGGGAAGCTCACTATTCCTGAAATGTAAGGCAAAGCCTCACTTCAAACAGCACCACAGACACACATGATACAGGGCAGCTTCCCTCCCTGCTGCTCTACAATGACACAAGTCCTACTGGTGTGTCCACAGCAAACCTCCTCACCACAACAAGAACTGACTTTGCCCCAGAAGACACTTGGAGGACACCAGCCACATGCACGACTGCAAATACATCATGTGGTCAGCAGGCCATGGCAATCTTAGGTTCCTGGAGGCCAATCTTATCTCCCACTGAGGACGTGGATCTTCAGAGCCAGAGGATTCTGCATTAGAGCCTACCAGGGTGAAGCCCTATATGTTACACTTCACCACTGCTGCTCACCAAAGACAGTGACTGAAGGTTTCCCTGCTTTAGGATTCTTTAATGCTCTGAATGTCTAACTTAAATCACATGTGCAATGGAATGTGAATGTTAAACTTTAACCTTCACAAATCACTGTGGCAGGAACTACTACTGTTCATTTCATGTGAAAAATTAGGCAGCTTTACCACAGACAAGCTAAGAGCTTTGAAAAAATTGGCTCAGGGATAGAGACAGGGTGGGGAGTGAACTATTTCTAGCTGGACACAGAGACAGTGTCCTAACCCTGGGATTCTCCTGACACAGTCTGTGTTCACACTACTTATTAGGGCTCCTAATTTTGTTTTAGTGCCAGGAAAGTCTATATCAAAATTCTGGCATTGGGATGGTACCTAATGTCAATTCCAAAATTGATAATATTTGGATATCCAAATAATATGTGCATGCCTACAGTGCACTCTAATACCATAAGTATTTAGCCTGTTTTAGTTTAATTTAGTAAGGAAATATTGGCATGCCATTAGAAGAAGTTGGGGTTAAACTTATTTGCATGTATGTTGGAGAAAAATAAAAAACTACTTATCAAATAGGTTCTTAAGTAATTCTGTGCTTTTCTGAAAATGAAGAAATGAAAACCTTGTATGACAATTAAGTAAAAGAAAAACTAAAGTTTAAATTTTGGAATCATATCCTTACCTACCTATTATATAACATGGCACCATGTAATTATTTATTATTATTATTATCATCTATTTTTTGCTATCAATGAAGTTTCATTGGTTAAAGGTATTGAAATACCTGCCATGTAATAACTAATGTGGAAGCCACATTATATACAATTAAAATTGTAGACTTAATATTGGGAATGAAAATGGAATGCCTATAAATCAGAGACTATATTACATGATCCACTGTAACCTGTCACATGTGCTCCTTTCCTCAAATGCAGCTGCTCTGCTTCTATGAGCAGAGGAGTCTATATCGGTTCTCAGGACTCCATGGTTTATGGGAGACTCACGCATGTCTCCATCTTGGAGTTCAGGCCCAGATTCAGAGGCAGCGCCTCCACTTCTGCCATCACTTTGCTAGTCAGACTCAGTTCCTATATGGGATTATATGGTGCTAGGTCCACTCTACTCCTTACCATGAAAGTGGCAATTTTAGAGACACCCTCCATAATAACACAGGATACATTCTCTGTGTTTTTCTATAATAGGAAATACATAGGAAGAAGACTTTAGATAGACTTTCCTACACCAAAGCACTTTGAAAACTAATTTGCTTATATTGTATTATGTCATATTGATGATATTAATTATATTAAATTCATAATACATTAGTGATGCATTGGTTTAATTAAAATAGGAGCCACATAGATGAACATAAAGCATGACAACATTTACTCCTTTCCAAGCCCAGCTCACTTATATCTCAGGCTTTATGATGCCTTCCTGAAAGATTTTATTCGTGGATTTTTTCCAAGTCAAAAAATTATTTTTGCCGACATGAAAATTCACTGCTGCTCCAATAGTCACCTTTTCTCACACACCTTGCCTCTCAAAGGAAACAGAAAAGGCTTACCTCACTCATTCCTCGTTCTGAGAATGGGGGACTTGTGCAAACCTGGGCAGCCAGCATGGATGTGGGATGGAAGGCAGTGAGTCCCTGAGATCAAGCTTTTTGCTTTGGTGACCTCACTCCCCACAGACTGTTAGTATCATCTCAGCTTTAGAGAGGACAGCAATGCAAGCCTGGGTTCCCCATGAGAATTCTGAAACTTTCTCCCAGTTGATAATTTGAATGTTCAGCGGTTAGTAACAATCATCTCCATTTGAACTCTCCCTGTGCCTGCCTCTCCTCTCCACTTCTCATTCTCTGGTGGCTGCACTCTACTCTCACCTTGTATGACATTAACTTTTTCAGATTCCACATTTCATGGCAAAAGACATCTGGTTCCAGTTTTTATATGCCTCCCTTATGTCAGTTGGTAAATTGTTCCACATGATTGTGAATGGTAATTTTTACTCTTTTATGATGACATAGTAACCTCTGGTACATAAAATGTATATCTAACATGTATTTTCTAGGCATATACATATGATGGGCATTTCTATTGTTAAAGTTTCTTCAATATTGTGAATAGTGCTACACTAAAGAGGGGTAAATGGAAGCCATCT